TCATCAGAGATATTGTTCTGTAGTTTTCTTTTTTTGTGGTGTCTTTGCCTGGTTTCGGTACTAGAGTGATGCTGGCTCCATAGAATGAATTTGGAAGTATTCCCTCCTCTTCTATTTTTTCGGGAAACTTCAAGGAGAATGGGTATTACGTCTTCTCTAAGTGTCTGATAAAATTTAGTGGTAAATCCCTCTGGTCCAGTGGTTTAGTTCTTGTATACTTTTTTGATTACTGATTCAATTTGATTGCTGGTAATTGGTCTGTTTACATTTTCTGTTTCTTCCTGGGTCATTCTTGGAAGGTTGTATTTTTCTAGAAAGTTGTCTATTTCTTCTAGGTTATTGAGTTTGTTAACATATAGATTTTCATAATATTCTCTAATAATTCTTTATATTTCTGTAGTGTCTGTAGTGAATTTTCCTTTCTCATTTCTGATTCTGTTTATGTTTGTATATTCTATTTTCCTCTTAATAAGTCTGGTTAGGGGTTTATCTATTTTGTTTATTTTCTCAAAGAACAAGCTCTTGGTTTTATTAATTTTTTCTATTGTTTTATTCTTCTCAATTTTATTTATTTCTGCTCTGATCTTTATTATGTCCCTCCTTCTGCTGACTTTGGGCCTCATTTGCTCTTCCTTTTCCAGTTTCCGTAATTGTGAGTTTAGACTATTCATTTGGGATTGTTCTTCCTTCTTTAAATAGGCCTGAATTGCTATCTACTTTCTTCTTAGAACTGCCTTTGCTGTGTCCCACAGAAGTTGGGGCATTGTGCTGTTGTCATTTGTGTCCATGTATTGCTTGATCTCTGTTATAATTTGGTCATTGATCCATTGATTATTTAAGGAGCATGTTGTTAAGCCTCCATGTGTTTGTGAACCTTTTTGTTTTCTTTGTACAATTTATTTCTAGTTTTATACCTTTGTGATCTGAGAAGTTATTACTAAAATTTCAATCATTTTAAACCTACTTAGGCTCTTTTTGTGGTCAAGTATGTGGTCTGTTCTGGAAAATGTTCTTTGTGCACATGAGAAAAATGTGTATCCAGCTGCTTTTGTGTGTAGAGTTCTGTAGATGTCTGTTAGTTCCATCTGTTTTAATATGTTGTTCAGTGCCTCTGTCTCCTTAGTTATCTTTTGTCTTGTTGACCTGTCCTTTAGAGTGAGTGGAATGTTGAAGTCTCCTAGAATGAATGCATTGCATCCGATTTCCCTTTTTAATTCTGTTAGTATTTGTTTCACATATGTAGGTGCTCCTGTGTTGGATGCATAGACATTTATAACAGTTACTTCCTCTTGTTAGACTGACCCCTTTATCATTATGTAATATCCTGAAAGTGTGTTTTTTAATGTCAGTTGATTCAGAGTCATAGCAAACACATTTTGACTTTTTCAAACTCCCTTAGAATTTATGGAATTACTAATGTCAGCTCATTTTTGAAGATTCCAATTTATTTAGCTGATTCTATATCAACTATATGTCAATAAAAAAGAGGAGAAAAAATTATATTTTGGCCTTATAAGGCCATTAGCAAGTAGAATATCAAGGATATCTTATAAGGAATGTCTTGATGCAATAAGATACACAAACAGACAAAAACAAAAGTAAATATATGTGCAAATGTATGACCATAAGGCAATTTTACCTAAAGAGAAGAGGTAAATCCGTATCCATAATGAGGAATAGGGAAGTATTTAAAATTGCTACTATTTGCCTATAGATATTACTCCATTATATTTTAATATTTAATGTTAAATATGAGTAATAGTTCAAGGATTACAAACTCAAAATAGATTTCTCATTGTATACTCCTCATCTCACAAGAGACAAAAGCAAAAAGAGTGATCTAATGAAAAGATATCATGTCCCAGTGGAAAAAAACAGAGTTATTTTTTTTGGACTGTCATGCATTTGTTATTTCATAATCACATATCATTTTAGATGGGTTGGTTGCCAGTCCTCCCAAATAAAGAAGCAAAGGATAAACAATACTTTTATAAACAGATGATAGTTTTATTGTCCTAACAAGGAGCTACCAGAAATAATTACCATGCTAGTAAAATATTGCTTTAAATAACACTTACAGGTCCAAAAAAAGTTATTATTATAGTTGGGCATTATACAGTTTTCAGTAACAATTAACAGTCTATTTGGAGCATGTTTTCTTAACAGAATATCTACAACTCAATGAAAGACTCATCCACTTAATCTGAAGAGTCCCTGGGAGTACCTCATGTGCTGCATATTTTGTGCCCAATCTGTCCCTCTTTGGATACTGCCATCATAATGTTATGATCTGCTATTTCTATCAGTTCCCTGGAGCCTGTCACTTCTGCTGCTTCTAATAGGCCTTACTATTTAGGATGACTGTGTATTAGATCATTTAAACTAGTACACTTTTGACTGTGAAAGGAAGAACTGTTACTAATTACATCAGAACAACTGTTAATTAGACTCCTTCTGGGAAAACACAGACTTATGGTCACCACTGCAACACTGTTTACATTAAAACCATGATGTTTCAATGCCTGCAAAACATATCACACACAAAAACAATAGGTATTTACTTTGTTACCAGCACCCAAAAACTGCTTTTTATACCCTGGTTGACAGCAGATACTAAGCTTTGGCCTGCACCTGATCATTTCCAAAGACCAGACTAAAGTTCATGGAGTCAGGCTGGGTAAACAGTCTCTGGACAGATATATAGATATATATCACACTCACTTCTCTCAGAGTCTGGGTGCTAATAAATTTAAGCTAAAAATTAGAATCTGAACACAGTGAACTCTATTAACATAACAATAAACTGGAAACTAAGGGGGAGAGTTGGATGATGAGGAATCTTCATGAAAGCTAATGTATAATTAGGGTTCTCTTTATTCATTTTCTGCATTGCCATTGCCTTATATCTTACTCATATCTCCATTAGTAAATAGAAGCCCAGAGCTGGCTATAGTTCAGGAAATGAAGGGAAGGTAAATGAATGCATGAGATGAAACAAAAAGGACAAAGAACTGCATCAACAGTGATGATAGTGAAGAACAGGCAGAAATGACAAGCAATGAAGCCGACATAGTGGTCTGGAATAAGATGATCAGCCACAACTAGAAGTCTCTAAAGACTCACAGTCAGTCACCTTTGAGGGATTCTATGTCCATCTGAATGGTACAATGTTCTCTTAAGAAAGTCAACTAAATTTCAAAAATTGCTAGTCTATCTGTTTGCTAAGTATTTTCCAAGGAATGACCACTCTGCATTATGGTGGTACCACTTTCTGGGCAGGTGCAGATGACCAGTAATGAATCCACAAGCTCAGAAAATGTGAATCAGCAAAATAATTCAAACACTTTTTAAAAATCTTATTTTGGATAAACTGGGTTCTAGCCAGCTTCTCGTTGACTATCATGATGTCAATGATGAGAGAAAGTAATGAAAACAAATAACACAAAATAATATATGTGACCTTTGCAGAGAAGATATTCCCAAGAACTCCACCTTGGTAATTAATATATTTGATGTGAAGGCAGGCTGTGAACCTAGATACAAAACCTCTACTTGGGTATGCTGACAGCTTCTGGTATGAGACAAAGTTTGGCTCAGTTTCCCAAAATCTAAACCTTTATGTATGGAGAAACTATATTTTAAAATATTTTATCCCCACACAGTTTCATAAAGCACACAAATCCAAGAAGAAATAAGTCATGTCTTTTCCTTTTTTTTTTTTTCAAGTTAGGTACAAAAGTCTATGAAAGCTTTAACTTGTGATTCTCTGTTAAATTTCATGAGGGATAAAAAATGGCAATGAAATAAAGAAGCCATTCAACTTTCCTCTTTGTAATATGGTTTTCCATACAACGTACCCTTCTGCCTCATGTCTGAACTACAAGGGGGAAAATACATGTGTACTTTACAGCTAAAATTAAATATGTTTTTTTAATTTGAAGGATAAAATAGAAAACCAATTTTTAATTCTAAATTAACAATTAATAAATAATATTGGATTTTAACTAGTATTACGCTAAAGCAAGTCAAACAAATAAAAGAAATCAAATAACTTAGTATCTAAAGTTTTCTATAGTTCTAGTTCTAAAAGAAACATAAACTAAACTACATAAAATTAAAAATAAAAAAATTCTAATATGACAGCAGGTAAGAAAAAACAGATATAATATTTAAATAAAAATCGACATCTAATACGAAAATTTGAAAGTGTGAAATTCAGTTCAAGAATAGATAAAATAAAGGTAAAGATTTTAAAGGTGAAGGTTACCATAACAGAGGAAAGATAGATAAATCGCAAATAAAAATCAAATGTAAAAACCCTCTAAAAGGTAGACCCAGCATTCGTTAAAAACAGATCCTTGTTGGATCAGCAACCTAATTCATGAATGAAGATCCAGTGGGACAGAGGAAAAGATATAGTTCTACTTTTACCAGTGATAACTGGCTTAAAATCTATTTACATTCAATTTTAAAAGTTTTAAAAATCAAGTCCAAGTCCAAACATTTAGATCTCACTTATCAGAAGGTCTTTGGAAAGAAGACTGCCAAAGTAGATATGCTGCAGGTAGAAAACAATAGTAATTTGATGCCTCATAGTTAGAGATAAGCAAAAAGTTATTTAAATAATATAGATATAAAAGTATAGGTATGTTATAGAAGAGACATATAATAAATATATTATTATGAACTGATATAAACATAAAATAATAATTCTAGAACCAAAAAGTTCAATAGTAACAAATACTTGGAAGATAATCAGCATTACATACTTAAATAGACACTGAGTAAGTTAAATTATTTTAGCAATTCCAGAATTGGAAATTTACAATTTTAACTGAGTTTTAAAAATCTGAAACCAGGTTTCATTCTGTCTTGTAAAGAAAGTAAGTGTGAAACTGGTTGTGGAAATAATTTTATCACAAAATTTTTTTTAAGTTTTAATACTAGCGTAACTTTTTTCCTGTCTGGAAATCTCTCTCCCTAGTACTCTATACTTTTATATGCCCTCATTGTCAAGATCCTCAAACACACAACTATAGTTACTGACCCTTAAAACACTGAAATTCACTTACTTAGTTACTGTCATTATGCCCTGTGCCACAAAAGAATATTTTAGGGCTTGAAAGACTTGAGAGATGAATTTGACACAGCAGCAAGGAACTATCTATATGACTTTTTGGTTTCCCTAATTAATTTCCACACTGTGATTATAAAAATTAGGTGCTCTTTTCCATTTACTAGCTAAAAACTTTTCTTCTCAGTAGTTGCTTCACTGCTTCCTTCACATCCTTGTTTCTGAGACTGTAGATTAACGGATTCATCATAGGAGTCATCACCCCATAGAACATGGATATAAGTTTGTCAGTAGCATCCAAGTCATCTGAATTGAGTGTCTCTTTAGACTTGGGTTTCATGTACATGAAGAGAATGGTTCCATAGAATATTATCACCACAGTCAGATGAGCTGAGCAGGTAGAGAAGACTCTCCTTCTCCCCTCAGAAGTGTGAATTTTGAGGATACTGATGATGATTATTGAGTAAGAGATAATGATTAATAACAGTGGTGTCAATATGAACAACGATGTGGCCACAAGCATGATGAACTCATTGCCTGAGATGTCTGCACAGGCCAATTTCATGACAGCCAGAATTTCACAAGAGAAATGATTGATGATGTTATTCCTACAAAAAGGCAATTGTATTACAAACACAGTTTGTACTGCAGAGTTGACAATTCCTATGATCCAGGACCCAGCTGCCATTAGCACATAGGAATCTTTTCTCATAATGACAGGATATCTCAGAGGATTGCAGATAGCCACATACCGGTCAAAGGCCATCATGCCCAGGAGCACACACTCTGTTGTCCCCATGGCCAAGCCTAGAAACATCTGCACTGCACAGCCAGAGAAAGAGATCGTCTTTCTTTCTGAGAGGAAGCTCACCAGCGTGTTAGGAATGGAGGTGGTGGTGTAGCAGATGTCCAGGAAGGAGAGATTTCCCAGGAAGAAGTACATGGGGGTGTGAAGGTGGGAGTCCAAGATGCTGATTAAAATAAGGGTGCCATTGCCCAGAAGGATGACCACATACATTATTAAGATTAGCACAAAAAAGAGTAGCTCAAGTCTTGGGTAACCAGAAAGCCCCTTTAGAAAGAATTCCACCAGAAGTGTTTGGTTCTCCCATTTCATTTTACTGTTTCTGTTTTACCTGTAAGACATTAGAATTTATTAAGACAAATTATATATCTTACTTTGGTTCCTTTCAAATGTGTATCAGTGTAAAAGTATCATACTCCCAGAGATAAATAAAAATAAAAAAGGAAAAGACTAAAGAAAAAAAAGAGAAATAAAGAAACGTGGACCAAGACAGGAAAGGTTTGTGTGGAAAGAAAGAGGGAAGAGGAAACTAACATATTTCAGGCTATATGCAACATGATTTGTAATTCATTTAGTCTCATCACAGTTCTAGGAGAGGTACTTACACACATTTTACATTCAAATAAATTAAAGCACAATTATTAAGTAAACTTGACTAAAGGTAAATATATAACAGAGCTAACTCTTACACCTACGTCTTCTCTGCCAAGACCTAAGCTCATTGTCACATTTGTCATCACATATGTAAGCTAGAGGTTATAATAAAAATAAGCTTTGTGTTATATGTAACTTCACAAGAAACCTCTCTTTTTGGCTACAAACTACCACACAATAGATCAGTGATCTTTTCACTCCTTGAAATTATATTGTGTTTATTACCTGTCATGCCCAGTAGCATGTGGGTACCTTTCTTGTTTACTTCCACAGTCCTAGTGCCTACAACAGAGTAGATGTTCAAAAACACTTGCTGAATAAATGAATAAAATTAAAGGCAAAATAATGACTGACATTTCTTATTCTGTGTCTGTCCTGTACTGTTTTGTGTGTGTGTGTGTGTACATTAATTCATTTACTCTGAATAGCAACCCTATTAGGCAATTGCTATTATTATTAGCATCACCATCTTCATTAAATAGAAGATGAAAATAGAGCAAACAGAAAAGTTAAGTAATTTGCTTGAGGTCAAGTTAATATAGCTAAATAAATGATAGAACCTGGACTTAAGCCCAAGCCATATGGTTGAAGAGTACAAGATCTTAATTGTTCAATTTACAGAGAACTTGGCTCAAAGGCTAGAATATATTGTAATCTAACTGACAGTAGCAACATCTCAAAAGAAATATTACACCAAAAAAGGTAATTCATCAGAAAGAAGCAAGATTTCAACATAATGATTTGATAGCAAATTTTGGATGATTTTTCCTATTTGCCTCCTAATTTGCTGGTGTCTAGAGAACTGCAGTAAACATGATAAAGTGTATTGGAATTTGTATGTAAGATGATAGATAGATAAATAGATAGATAGATAGACAGATAGATAGATACATAGATAGATAGATAAATAGATACTGAAAATGGTGTTTAAAAAACTCAGTGTCTAAATTCCCAGGAAACTTCCTAACAGAAATTTTCTAATACCCCTCACTATGATTCTTTGGGTGGCTATGCACTGGTACCCCTTAGGGGAAAGGCATGGTTTCATCTCTAATGACCTTAACTCCTAAGGGTGAGGAGACAAGCACTCCAATACAGTCTCACTGGATATGCAAATTGGTACATCCTCTATGGAGAACAATTTGACAATATTTATCAAACTCACAAACTCACAAGTGCATACCACCACATATTTACTTTTAGGTAATTATCACCAGCTATGCTGACATATCTGTAAAGTGATTTAGATACATATTGAATCATTAAAGTGTTGTTTGTATTAGCAGATATGGAAGCAATTAAAATTTCCATAAGGGGACATAGAAATAGTGGAATATTATTCTGCTGTCAAAGATAAGAGGCTTTTTGCACATTGATATAGAAGTATCTTCAAGAAATATTTAGTGGAAGGGGATTCTGTGAAAAAGATGGCACTGTAAGAAGGCAAGACACACATAGAAAATCACATAGAACATGAAATTAAAGCAAATATAGCTAAGCTTGAAAATGATTTGTAGACTTCAGAAGAGACTGATTACATCTAGGGAAGAAGAGAGGACCCCACAGTAAAGGGTGCCAGTCCTGCTCGCCGGTAGTCCCTGCCATTGTGACAGGCCAGAGGGAAGACAGCTCTGCACACAGAAGCTCCAGTGGCACAGCTCCAATTACTTTCCCTGCTCATGCAATCAGCCAACAGCCCACACAGCACACCTGAAATTAGATCACTACAAGTCAGACACAGAGATGTCACACATACTGCATGCCAACAGCTGGGGATCCTGCACAGGAAATTGAGCTCTGGGTACTAGATGGCATCACCTACACAAGGTTATTTTTCCATAGGGAAGACTAAAAGAAAAATGAAGAGGCAGAGGAATTTGGTCCAAACAAAACTAACAGACAAAAACAACAGGAAGAGGCCCCCCACTGTAATACGCAGCCTGCAGTTCCTTCCTCCTAGCCTACCGGCACTGGCTTGCAAGCCAGCAGTCACTGCCCTGGTATCAGGCCAGTCAAAGGGAGGCCCTGCCTACAACAGCTATAGATGCAAAGCACAGAGGCTTACACCACTGAGCTCAGCTCACTGGCTCTGACAGTAGAGGCACTATAGCCAGGAAGCAAGAAACAGCTCTTTCCTCCCCACAGGCACCAGCGCTGCTCCACTGTGACCCCTGACCTCACTCCAGGAGCTGAGCAGCTCCAGAGACTAGAGCATCTGGTCACTAGAGGGTGCCACATAGAAATATGAAATGTCAAAAGAACCTGGATCAGACCAAAATCTCATAAACCCCAGAAGAAGGGACAAAAGAAACTGAACTCACCAATCTTCCTGAGAGTTCAAAATAAAAATCATAAATATGCTTATGGAGGTACAGAAAAATATCAAGAACTCAGGGATGAATTTAGGATGGAGATTGAATCATTAAGAAATTCCATATCTGAAATGCAATATACAAAGGAGGGATTTAAAAGCAGATTAGATGTAGTAGAAGAGACAGTAAATGGAACACAAATTAGATGAGAGGAATACAAAGAAGCTGAGGCACAGAGAGAAAAAAAGTATCTGTAAGAATGAAAGAATATTGAGACAAATGTGTGACCAAACCAAACAGAGCAATATTTGCATTATAAGGGTACCAGAAAAAGAAGAGACAGAAAAAGGGATAGAAAGTGTCATTGAGGAGATAATTGCTGAAAACTTCCCCAATCTGGGAAAGGAGATAGTAGTCTCTCAGGCCATGGAGGTGCACAGATCTCGCAACACAAGGGACCCAAGGAAGACAACACCAAGATATTTAATAATTAAAATGGCAATGATCAAAGATAAAGACAGACTTTTAAAAGAAGACAGAGAGAGAAAAATGATCACATACAAAGGAAAACCCATCAGGCTATCATCAGATTTCACAACAGAAATCTTACAGGCCAGAAGGGAGTGCCATGGTATATTTAATGTAATGAAACAGAAGGGCCTCTAACCAAGAATATTCTACCCAGAAAGTTTATCACTCAAATTTGAAGGAGGGATTAAACAATTTCCAGATAGCAAAAGCTGAGAAAATTTACCATCACAAACCAACTCTACAGTGCATTTTGTAGGGACTGCTATAGATGGAAGTATTCCTAAGGCTAAATAGCTGTCATCAGGGGAAATAAAACCACAGCAAAGTAGAACAATTAATTACTAAACAGATCCAAAATCAAATCAACTACCCCCAAAGTCAATCAACTGATAGACAAAGAGTACAGAATATAATACCTAATATATAAAGAATAGAGGAGGAAGAAAAAGGAGGAAAAAAGAAAAAGAACCTTTAGGTTGTGTTTATAATAGCACACTATGTGAGTAAAATTAAACTGTTAAATAGTAAAGGAATTACCCTTGAACCTTTGTTAACCACAAATCTAAAACCTGCAATGGCAATAAGTACATACCTATCAATAATCACCATAAATGTAAATGGTCTGAATCCACCAATCAAAAGACACAGAGTCACTGAATGGATAAAAAAACAAGACCCATCTATATGCTGCTTACAAGAGACTCACTTCAAACCCAAAGACATACACAGACTGAAAGTAAAGGGATGGAAAAACATATTTCATGCAACTAATAGGGAGAAAATAGCAGGAGTAGCAGTACTTATATCAGACAAAAGACTTCAAAACAAAGAAAGTCACAAGAGACAAAGAAGGACATTATGTAAAGATAAAGGGGTCAGTCCAACAAGAGGATATAACTATTATAAATATCTATGCACTCAACACAGGAACACCTTCATATATGAAAAAAATATTAACAGAATTAAAGGGGGAAATAGAATGCAATGCATTCATTTTAGGAAACTTCAACACACCACTCACTCCAAAGAACAGATCAACCAGACAGAAAATAAGTAAGTAAACAGAGGCACTTAATAATAAATTAGAACACATAGACCTAACAGACATCTACAGAACATTCTACCACAAAGTAGCAGGATACACATTCTTCTCATGCATACATGGAAAGTTGTCCAGAAAAGGTCACATACTAGGACATAAAAAGATCCTCAATAAATTCAAAAAGATTGAAATTGTATCAACCCTTCTCAGACCACAAAAGTATGAAATGAAACTAGAAGTAAATTACACAAACAAAACAAAGAGCCTACAGACACACAGAGGTTTAACAACATGCTCCAAAATAATCAATGGATCAATGAACAAATTGAAATAGAGATCTAGCAATATATGGAGACAAGTGAAAACAACAACTCTACAGCCTAAAACCTATGGGATACAGAGAAGGCAGTTCTAAGAGGAAAGTACATAGCAATGCAGGCCTACCTCAAGAAAGAAGAACAATCCCAAATGAACAATCTAAAAACAAGACCCATCTATATGCTGCTTACAAGAGACTCACTTCAAACCCAAAGACATACACAGACTGAAAGTAAAGGGATGGAAAAACATATTTCATGCAACTAATAGGGAGAAAATAGCAGGAGTAGCAGTACTTATATCAGACAAAAGACTTCAAAACAAAGAAAGTCACAAGAGACAAAGAAGGACATTATGTAAAGATAAAGGGGTCAGTCCAACAAGAGGATATAACTATTATAAATATCTATGCACTCAACACAGGAACACCTTCATATATGAAAAAAATATTAACA